CGAGCTCAAATTTTAAAATAAACAAATAAAAATAAAAATTACAACTGAAATTTTATTTGCTGCTAAGCGCTGAAAGTGCGCTTTTTCGCTGCTTGAATGAGCGCTTAACGTGTGCTGAATGTGTGCTTTTACCGCTGCTCAATCGAGCGCTCAACATGTGCTGAATGTGTGCTTTTTCCGCTGCTCAATCGAGCGCTCAACATGTGCTGAACGTGTGCTTTTTCAGCTGCTCAATCGAGCGCTCAAGAGGGTGCTCAAAAAAGCGCTCAATGCGTGCTATTTTTTGAGCACTGATGAACCCTAGGACATGCCTATGTTAATTTCAGCACATAGCTCCATACAAATTGTGCGCTCATTGAGCGCTGAGTGATGAGCTTTTTGCAGTGATTGAGTGCTCAATAAGCGCTGAATGGTACTGCAGGGTAGCTACAAGCAAGCATACCATATAGCAGTCGTCTTCGCACACAGTGACATTCTTGACCAGGATCACTAGCCGAGTTACAGCAGCCATGTCCATATGCCCGTATAAACGCTGACATATGTGAAACTATAAGAGCTAGAACGCTGGGATTAAGCAGATTCTAGGGCTTGCTGCGCAGCGTGGGTACCACGTCCACTCCAACGACCTAACGTTAAATCTGTCTGGCTCCCACATTTTAAAATATTTTGTAAAAATGTAAATGGGATTTTGATGTGATGATATATGTTTAAATTAGACCATTCTGTTAAAAGTTATAGGTAAATAAAGAAACCTACGCTAGGTGGCGTAGTGTGCAATCTCGAGAACAATCGATTTGCTGCTTTCATATCTCTATCGCCCTCGCATTCCATTTAGCCGAGTAACGGGTATCTAATGGGCAAGACACTTAGGCACTTTAAAAAATAAAAATAAATTTTATATTAAAAAACGTTTAGATAATATGTTTTCCAAAGACATTACATTAATCTATTTTTGTGTAGAAATTTCATTTTAATTTTTTAAAAGAGTCTTAAGTTATTCAATCTTGCAGAAAACGATTATATAATGTTTTGATAAGATTAAGAGAGAGCATTGACTTCAACTATACCGGTAGCTAAGGTGAAAGGGTACGAGGGAGATGGAGATATAACTGACTAACTAAAGTAGGCTTAGACAAGGACACAAAACACCCAACAGTCCTTTAGAAATTTTTTTTTTTGTTTTTATACAAATTTCATAACATTTTTTATAATTATATTCAATATTTTCGTAGTTTTAAATTACTTTGTCAACAAATCGTTTTTACATCGGGAATCAGGGTAACTAGTCCAGGATTTGTGAAGTAGCGTTGGCAAAACAAATAATTAATTAATCAATAACGTAATTATAATGTTTCAAAGGTTTATATAACATGTGTAACCAGCGGAATACTTTAACATTCTAAAAAGTGGGGTCATGGCTAAACATTTTCAACTGCAGGAGAACTGCCTGCGGGCAATGGGGCATAGTGATAACGTAGACTCGGAATGTAGCTAACAGGTAGAAGGAGAAGAAGAAAGGGTGCGCTAGGTGGCGCTTTGGACTCGGTGTGTTAGTAAAAAAAGCATGCTTCAGGCATGTATCCCTCTCGCACTCCCGTAAGCTGAGTAAGGGAAACCATTGACTATAGCGTTTTCTCTTGTTTTCAAACATGGTGCTCTGCCAATTTTCCGAATTTAAATAGGTCTAAGTGTAAGGTAATGACTCTTTGGCGTGTTAATCTTCAATAAACACGCTGATTGAGGGCTTATTGGATAGAAAAACTTTAGTAAACGAACTTGTCGTTTTTTTGGACCCAGGACTAAAATTTGCAGCGTTTGCTGCGCCGTATTTGGCCTATTCGGCCCGAATATCGCGAAGATTAAAGTAGAAGTTTGTTGTACTATAACGCGCCGTCTTATCGATCGACGCTTGTTACCGATTATTTGACAAAAGGTCACATTTTAACCATTAACGTTATTTTGCGCTGCGCAAGAAGCTCAGGAATCTGCATGCCAAGTCCCAATAGCCTAGCTCTTATACTCCTCGAGATCTCAGAGTTCACACGGACAGACGGACATGGCTAGATCGACTCGGCTAGTGATCCTGATCAAGAATATATACTTCCCGACGAATCTAGTATACCCTTTTAACTCTCCAAATAACGGGTATAAAAAGAATGTTTCTATAGCCTTCAGTTCTGCAGTAGGCTCGGAGTGACATGTCAGACGGCAAAAAGCTTTTTTGTTTTTTTTTGTGCCTAAAACTCTGTGCCGCTGTTGATGTCAGCTGAGAATTCGGTGCAGCGTATAAGACTGCCTACGAAAACGGTCGTGCAACAAAGAGAGGCAGATAGTCGGTGGATCCCTCTCTTTCTTTGTCTTATAATCTGCCTGTCCTCGGCGCTTTTGGAGACAAATTTCGGCCGGTCTCTTATTTTTTTTTTGCGTCTCACCGTTATGTTCAGCTAGCTACTAACATCTCGGCGAAAAAAATGTTCGTCGAACAGCGACATGTAAATGCCCTAATATTTTAGGATCGTTATTGTTTTTAAAAAAACGAACAATATTGTTTTATAAAAGTTCATCATAGTAAATTTAAGTTAATTGAGTTTACTTTTAATCTTATGTTTACGTATTATACATTATTATTACAATATAATGTTATAGCTTCGGTGTTTTTAACATATAACCTTCTACGCTTAGAAATAAAATTTTTTAAGCAGTTCTGAATTTCGAATTTAATTTTATTAAAATCGGACGACTATATCATATAGCTGCAATAGGAACGATCGGAAAATTGGTGGGAAAATAATATGAAACAAATTATAGCTTCCGTGATTTTTGACATATTATCTTATACTATTGGGAATATCATTTTTGTATTTTTATACTCTTTCAGAGGGTATATTGATTTCAGTCAGAAATTTGCAACGCAGTGAAGGAGACGTTTCCGACCCCATAAAGTATATATATTCTTGATCAGCATGACTAGACGAGTCGATCTAGCCATGTCAGTCTGTCCGTCCGTTTCTACGAAAACTAGTCTCTCAGTTTTAAAGCTATCGGACTGAAACTTTCCCAAAAGTCTTATATCTTTTGCAGGTAGTATATATACTATATCTTATAGCTCCCATAGGAGTAATCGGAAAAACATTTTTTTAAAAATTATATCTTTGGTGTTTTTAAACATATAACCTCCTAAGCGTGGAAATAACATTTTTTATTTAGTTTTGAATTTCAAATTAAATTTAAACAAAATCGGTCGACTATGGCATATAGCTGCCATAGGAACGATCGGAAAATTGGTGGGAAAATAATATGAAACAAATTATAGCTGCGGTGTTTTTTAACATATAACCTGGAAATAACATTTTATAATTAGTTCTGAATTTCGAAATTAATTTTATCAAAATCGGACGACTATATCAAATAGCTGCCATAGGAACGATCGGAAAATTGGTGGGAAAATAATATGAAAGAAATTATAGTTTCGGTGTTTTTTAACATATAACCTCCTACGCTTGGAAATAACATTTTTAATTAGGTCTGAATTTCGAATTTGATTTTATCAAAATCGGACGACTATATTATATAGCTGCCGTGGGAAAATAATATGAAACAAATTATAACTTCGGTGTTTTCTGACATACTATCTTGTACTATTGGGAATATCATATTTTGTATTTTTAAATTTAATAATTATAACTGCAAGGGTATACAAGTTTCGGCTTGCCGAAGTTAATTCCTTTCTTGTTCATACTAATTTTCTGACATTGTCACATTCCAACAAGGAAGAACGCTATAGGTGAGTACCTCGACTATCAGATACCCGTTACTCAACTAAAGAGACCAAAGGAAAATGGAGATATGGAAGCAGCAAAGCGAGTTTGAAATGCGCCACCTACCCGTGATCTCAATATATGGTTATGTGGGCGGTAGACAGATTTAAGCGTTATGGGCGTTAGAGTGGGCGTGGCAAATTTGTTTCGATCAACCGATAGGTATTGACGAGACCAATACATTTCAGTTAAAATTTTGTATCTAGCAAAATTGTGGGCGCCACAGGCTTGGGCGGTTTGTGGGTGTTAGAGTGGACGTGGCAAATTCGCGTAACAAACTTTCGCTGCGTGCAAGGCTACGGAACCCTTTTACTCTACGAGTAACGGGTATAAAAATCATAAAAATATAAGCAAAATGATTTTTGAAACATTTGTTTTGCTGTTACAATTAGTTTTGTTTGGAGAAAGTTTAAGCACAATTTAAGTTTTCAAGAGGTGGAGAAAAGTTTAATAAGAAGATTTTCACAAAAAATCGGCGTTTTTTTTTTTGTTTAAACACTTTTGACCACCCCTCTTAATACTTTACAGTAACGGCTATACCAAATTTGCAGACTGTCTTTTCGTGAGCTCGAGCACCGGCCTGCGATCTCGTTAGGAAATATTTTAAATTCAAAACTAGGTTCAAATTTTTTCTTATTTTAAGAACGTTTGTTCTGATTTTAAAAAATGTTTTCTTATTTTAAGAACAAAATGTAATGTTAAGAGAGTTGGCGTGGTAACGGACTGACATGGCTAGATCGACTCGGGTGCTAATGAGGATTAAGTATACGTATAAGCTTCTGACTGAAATTAAAATATCCTCTGCTGTGCGTACAGTGCGCACCGTTATGTTTTGAAGACAGGTTATTGAAACAACGCCTATCTTAACTTTTTTACAATCTTATTTTCGGAAAAAGAGCACATTTTATTCAATATTTCTTTACATCTGCTCTTAGGGGAAATGATGTAATTTAAAAGATTATGTGCATTTTGTTGACCAAAAGATTATTTTTTGTTGACTTTTGTGTTATGTACGCAGAGTGGTAATCAATAGTCCCAAGTGATCGACCTTATTCCCAATACTCGAGCTCATTTCTTATCGTAGAATGCAAATGTGACAAGTACACGTGTATAGACAATGAAAGGCCTATCATTAATCTCTGGCAACAACAAATTATATTATAACACTAAACGATCAGTGACCGCAAAGCTGAAACATTTCGAAGCTTTTTAGAGTTCCTATAAATATGCAGCTTGCCAATGCTAGCTACGAAGCAATTGTCAGTCCTATGTCGGAGCTGCATTAATAAAAATTTTTTATAAAAATGCCAAACAGTAAGTTGTACCGGGAACAGGGGGCCTAATGTTTTATAGACCCATTATTGCATCTTCGCAGAGCTTACAATCGCCCTTCTGCAACTTTCTGTGGGCAGGGAAGTTGCTTTAAACGTGCGCCGGGCAGCTGACAGCGTCAGGAAGCTGAAGGTGGATAACCCGCGGCTGCAGCTGGCCATTCTGCCGGAGAGCTTCAATGCGCCCTACGGGCAGGAGTACTTCCCTAAAGTTGCTGAGGAGGTGCCAAAAGGCCCGACCTCTCAGTCGCTGTCGCAGCTCGCCAGCGAGCTAAGCATCTATATAATTGGCGGCAGTATCGTCGAGCGCGAGGGCGACAAGCTGTACAACACATGCACCGTGTGGGGGCCCGATGGAACCCTCATAGGCAGGCATCGCAAGGTATGCTGTAAAATAATATGGAACAGTCACAGAATGACCTGGTACTAACAGATCCACCTTTTCACAATGAGCATTGAACCCGCCAATTTTGGAGGCGTGGAGTTCGACGAAGCTGCTTTCCTGTCAGCGGGATCAGAGCCAACCGTGGTACAGATTGGGCAGCAGAAGATTGGCATTGGTATCTGTCACGACAAGCGCTTTGAGGAGCTTGCGAGGATCTACCGCAACATGGGTGAGCTAACACGCCAACCGTTGTTACTTGGTTTCCAATAAATATTTCTCCTAGGTTGCACCATGCTGGTCTACCCGTCCGCATTCTGCATCTGCCAGGGACCAATGCATTGGGAGCTGCTACAACGAGCCAGGGCGACCGACAACCAGCTTTTCGTGGTAACTTGCTCGCCTGCCCGCGACAACATGTCGGGCTATGTGGCCTACGGTCACTCGATGGTCGTAAACCCTTGGGCCCAAGTACAACGCGAGGCTGGCGAGGGCTGTGAGTTCATTGTCGAGGAGATCGGTGAGTGCTCTACCATAATCAGGGATCTTTGCAAGACTGACTGCTTTCGCTTCCGCTCCGTCTCCCGCAGATTTTGACGTGGTCGACCAAGTGCGCCGTCAAATTCCCATCTACAAACAGCGGCGCACTGATGTGTACGCTAAGGCCAGATTTGATTTGTAATGTTGTCAACAATTCAAAGCCCAATATATAAGGCAAATAAAGCAATCTAGAAACAGTGGGAGAGAAGTTTCCTGATAGGGCTTGACATGCTTATCGCTTCGAAAACATACTTAGACATAAGCAGTCACTTAATTGAAACAAGAGGAAAAGCTGACTTCGGCAAGCCGATGTTTGTATTCTCTTTCTGCTAAAACCATTTCATGCATTTAACGATATAACAGAAACTGTATTAACCATATATATACTAATAAAGGTGGCAGATTTTGAAAAAAACGGACCGATAGTTTTAATAACCGATATACGCGGTAGCACCAGAAATGGCAAAGTGCTAAATGATTTCTGTGGTTTATGTTAAGGTTTAAAAGTGGTTTTGACCGAGAAACTAATAGTGTGAACATCTCGAATATTAAAAAAAATTTATTTATACTTCTTACTTTTGATTATAGTTGTTATGTATTTTCACTTACGCATAATATTTTAAATTGAACAATTTAATTATAATTGTTAATTTATAATTGAAGGAGTATTTATTTTTAAAGTTGGCTTTAAGAGTAACGTGTGGATACTTGAGGTAGCTATATGACTTACTCCTTTTTTATAAAATTGAGTTCCTAATTCTGGAAGTATGTTTGTACATTTGTAATTGTAATGGTCAAGTACGCCTTATTCACTTTTGGTTCCTCTTAATCTAAGAATTTGAGGAATACTTTTTTTAGGAATTCGCTTCAAAACTGACAGACTAGTTTGTTCAAAAACAAGAACAGTATGTCTGTATTTTTTTAATTTAAAAATTTCATATTTACTGCATTGTCAACTTTTAAATAAAATGAGAACTCCCATCGCAAGGGCATAATTAAAAAGAGCTTCAATACAGAAACGCACCGTGGTTTCGTCACAGCTTTAAAATTACAGCTTTTCTATAAGTTAAGTAGGACATAAGTCCTCTAGAAAAACTTATATTTTTGTTAACTAGCAATTAAAAATTTGACGTACAAGTTATATAAATAAGTTTTTAATAAAAATGATCTTGATCTTGATTGATTTAAATGATTTTATTTATTTAAAATGGTTCTTTAAGGATAGCAATCTTTTCTTGGCTAAGTTGAAACTAACTTTAAAAAATAGGAATACAACTTTATGAACGGATTAAAGGAAGCAAACCCTATTTGTCTTTACAACCACTGTGCAATAAAATCCGGCTTCCGTCGAGGGGTCCGTACGGCCAGAAACAAAAGCTTTACTCCCAGTGGCTCTGAACAAGCGATTCAAACAAAGCACAACCAGAGCTGGTCGATGGCAACCTCAAATTTAGCGTTGGGCGTGTCGGTAGCCCTATTTCTGTTGTTGTGGGCTGGCGCAGGACATTGTCAGGTTAGCTACGTGCGTCACTTGTCGGAGCTGCGGATCAAGGAGCTTAAGGACTTAGCGGTTCGTCTGCAAAACTCAATTAATCCCGACAAATATGCCTGCGAGAGTTACTTTGACTACGTCTGTAGCCGCAATCGTCCGCTCTTCTCGATCATGGGTATGTTAACATGGGGTGTCTGAAGATAGTGCCTAATGCAAATACTCAATCTTAGGACACATGCCACAGATGAGCGACCTTATGCAGTTGCTGACTGAGCTCCAAAATGACCCAGAGCAGTTTGAGGCAAAGCAAAAGATGATGGACTTTTTTATCTCCTGTAACTCACAGCACGCATTGGATGACTGCTATCGTGAAACCTTTGAGTACTTCAAGCCGCTTTTCGGGTACATAGTTACAAAAAACCTCCTCAATGGAGGATCCCATGAGTTGGACGACTTTCTGGGCATTTTAGACCGCTTCGTTGCCAGAATGCAAAAAGAAAGAGAGTCAAATCCCGTTCTAGGTAAACTGGCAACGTACAAGCAGAAGTTCAAGACGCCGCGCGTCTACTTCCACGCCAGAGATCTAAGCCGGGAATATAGGGACGTGCGCATCTATCGGGAGAGCTACGAGCATAACATCCGCAACCTTGAGCTGCACCGAAAACAGAATTCGACTTACGAGCTGGGGGTTCAGCGAACAATGCTGGATTGGAGCATGTACCTCTTTCAGAGCCGGAACAAGCCCATGTCTTACTACTACTCCACATTCACCGTGCACTTGTACATGATGCTTTTTAACAGCCGGGAGCGTCAGCGCGATTTTACTCGATTTCGAGAAGAAGTAGAGTGTCTGAGGCTGCCGCAATTCGTCAATGTACTGGACGAAGCCAGAATGCTGGCCGTGATCTACTTAAAAAGTTTTCGGGCCGCCTGGATAGACTACAGCGCCTGGACCAACGCGCCACCACAAAACAATGGGATTTACGATCAAGAGAACGGTATCCTTCAGAAATACCACCTTGACAATAAGCGCATCTTTTTTACACTGTATGCCCAGAACTTCTGTGAGTTTGGCAAGGATCTGGCCGAGCACGTCTTTTTTCTAGGCCTCAAGCAGAATAAAGACTTTTTTGACATATACTCATGTGGTTTCCAAACGGAAAACTCAATGACGTGTGTTTAATTGATCGAACTTTGTATTACAATAATCTCTACACATATATGATTTTAAAACATAATATAAAAAGTAATTCATAAAAATGTTTATATTTACCACGGGAAATCACTGTGGACGAACGCACAAGGAAAGTGGGCGATGGCGACTAATTTTTATCAAGCGAAAACACCCTTTAACGAGGTAAAAGGTCGTGACGATCGCACCCACAACATACAAAACTACTAATATCAAATTTTGTGTCGAACAATTATAAATCATTCGTCTAAATAAATACACTGGCTTACATTTTCTCATTCGGCACGATTCAGCAAGCTTTTTAACGACACATGCATATTCTTTTACAGAGTGCGGAATGTGCAAGCTTAAGGAAGTTTTTACCAAAATTGTAGAACTAAAGTTTCTTAAATTGGCCTGTTTAGCACCACTTTAATATTTCGAAGACCTTAAAACAGTGCTTGGATACGCACAAAAAAAGTACAGTGCTCGGGCAGCGTTAGTTGTTCTGAACTGGTAAATGTGACCATTTTTGTTGATTTATAACATTCAAACGTGTCCTATTAAAACAGTGTGTTATAAGTCAAAAGTTGAAGAATCTCAAAGGCTATACAGTCAACAGTCTAAACTTTTAAACGATGGTACTTAAAAAAATCATATTAGTAAGGTCTACAGAGTATTTCAATATACCTTTCCAACGACATACAGCAAAAGACTGTAGCTTTAGATGTTCACAAGTAACGGCCGTAATAAATTAATTGGCAGAACAAAAGATTCTTATATTAAGCTGTTTATTATCAATTTTTCAGGACACTAAAAATTCTTTTTGGAACAAACTGACAAACAAAATAATATTGGTTTCGGAGAAAGAGCGGTGAAAGTGTAAGAGTTAAAATTTAAAGAATTTGATCTGTTGAAGCCGTTGTGGATAAATGCACAAGTTCATTAGTCTAATTGTTATCTTATATAAAATACGCGTCAAATGACACCTCATTTGTTAAAATACGATGTTGCGTTTAAAAGTTATTCGCCAAAAACGATTTTGGAAGACTTCTCAATGAAAATTTTATTTTGCTTGTCAGTTTGTTCCAGAACGTTATTTTAGGGCCGTGGACATTTTGGATAATGCTTAACAGCTTATTATACGAATCTTAAATTGTACCACTTGTGTAGTTTGGCGGCAAAAAAGCTATAAATAGCTAACTTATGTACACCTGTAACTTGTGAACTACTAAAGCTACATGCTTGTGCTATATTTCGTTAGAAAGATATTTCGAAATACTTTGTACGCCTTTCTAACATGATTTGTCTAAGCACCATTGTTTAAAAATTATGGCAAACGTGTATTTACTTATTTTTTTCGCCTTTCTTTTATTTCTGATAAACATACACGAGGTAAAAATCTAATGACGATCGCACCTTCAACAAAAAAAGGTGTTTTTGTTTGATATTCTTAGTCACGATCACCCGGCTAGTCGATTAGCCATCTTCGTCTCTCCGACTGTACGTCCGTATAAATATCTAGCGTATGCAGCTAAGATCTCGGAAACTATAAAAGTTATACAGGTTCTAAGGATTCTAGCATATTACAAGTGTATTTCATATATGAGCGCCACGCCCTACAATTTAAATGTTTTTTTAAAAGTGATTTGTTCTGATTATCAATATCCATTAAGCGCTAATGGTTTTAGTCGGACCATCCGTTAAAAAGTTATAAAGCGCATTGGCGTGGTTTGCAGTTTTGGGGACAGTCGCTTTGCTGCTTGCATGCATTGATTCCAATTAAAAAACAAACACATAGAGAACACATAGAGAATTCTGAAGATCTCGTCAAAGTTAAAAATGTTCTTAAAAATAGAACGACATTTCTTGAATTTAAAATGTTCTCATTGTGCGTGAATGAAGTTTATTTCGTTCTTAAAATCTAGTTCAGTCAAAAATGTTGAGAAAATTTGGAATATACGAACATAAACCATTTTATTAAAGTGGCTTTTCGACTCAAAGATAAATTAAGTTAAAATGTTCTTAAAGTAAGCACAAAATGTTTTCTAGAAAGTTGAACTTGTCCTTAACCAAGTCTAGACAGAACAAGGCAGGTAGAAGTTTTTTGAATTTTTTACAGTCGTAAGTAGCATAGAAGTTAGACCATATGCCTTCCGTTCCAAAGGTTGTGAGTTCAACTTGCGTAACGATTTTTTTTTTTAGTGAGTTTTTATTTGAACATTAAACGTCGCAATTTTTTTAAATACTAGAACCCAGTTACTTAAACATACCCTTGCAGTTATATTTATTAAATTTAAAAATACAAAAAATGATATTCCCAATAGTATATATGTCAGAAAACACCGAAGCTATAATTTGTTTCATATTATTTTACCACCAATTTTTCGATCGTTCCTATGGCAGCTATATGATATAGTAATCCGAAACTCAGAACTAATTAAAAAAATGTTATTTCCAAGCTTAGGAGGTTATATGTTAAAAAACACCAAAGATATAATTCTGTTAAATTTTTTTTCCGATTATTCCTATGGGAG